TTAACCCAACCTGACCCCAACCTGACCCGACGTAACTGAACCTAGCCCTCCCACTGTTACGGGAATTAGCCGCTCTAGCCCAACCCAACCAACCCAAAGACCAGTCCACCCAACCTCACTCCTAGCCTAACCGAGCCTCATATAATCTCATATAACCGGTCCATACCGAATCTGACCCCCCCCCCCCCCTGCCACAGCAAATGATCTAGCTGCGACCCTGACCTGACCTGACTCAACCTATTTCAACCACGCCCCGATCCACCTGACCTATCGCAGACCCTAACCCAACCGAACCCAACCTCGCCTAGCCCAACCCAACCCTGACCTAACCCACACCCGGCCCTGACCGAATCTAACCTGACCCATACAGTTAACGCAACAAAACCACTCCCCGCTGCGCCAAACCCAGCCACCCTGAACACAACCTAAGCCAGACCCGACCCTGCACTAACCTGACCTGACCCAACCCAACGTCCCAACCCAACCAAGTCTCCTCAACGCAACCCAGCGCAACCCAGCCACACCCACACTCCAGCAACCAACCTTGACCTCTCCTAAGCCCGCGTGACCTGGATCGTAACCTCAACTAATCCAACCAACCCGTAACCTAACCGGAACCCAGGCTATCCCAACCTACCAGCCCAACCACACCCCGCTCCACTTAACATAACTCCGACCCGAGCCTATCCTAAGCCAACCTAACATGAACCTGACCTGTAACCCCGATACTAACCTGACCGAACCTAACCTAGCGTAAGCCAACCTGACCTCACCTGACCTAACGAACCCCAAGCTAACCTAACCAAACAGCTAACCCAACCTAACGCAACCCATCCACCTAACTTAACCTAGCCTGACCTAACCCAAACGCGACCCTGACCTCAGCTAACCGGGCCCAACCCAACGTACCCCAACCTAACCTAAACCTCGCCCTACCCTAAGGCCCTAAGGTAACCAACCTAACCTAACCTACTAAGCCAACCTAACGCAACCCAACCACACCCAGTGTACCCCAGCCTTACCTAACCTCACCTAACCCAACCAACCCCTTTCGTAACCTGACCTATATCCGGATCGTAGTCTAAGCCAAGTGTTGGTAATTTTTACCAAGTTCTGATTGAGGATGCCGCCACACTGAAAGGACGCTTTGGTTCACTGAATGAGTGTTCCGGTTCATTCCGGTTCAGTGCATAACTCGCGCTCCGACCCAGCACATTCCACAGAATTCACACACGCTCACACCTTGCTGGGTCGACGTCTGCTTGGACTGCTGCGTCGTTGTGAGCATGGCCTGGGAAGCAAGGCAACGAACTTTCGGCTGAACTTTCAGCGCAGGTCGCCCCATCCGTGCCAAAGCATACTGTAAACTGAAGAACCGGCGAGGGTAGTGACCACTTGAGCGAGCCTATGTTTGAGGTGCATTATCCAGCTGCAAGGTACGTAAAGTAGCGCAGCACAGGCACAGGTCTGTCCCGCTGCTCGCCGGAATCGTCCTCCTGCTCCTCTTCCGGATCTTCTTCATCATCCTCATCCCAGTTACCCGCTCCTTCCATGCCAGCGACTCGCAAGGTCTCAGAGCACACCCGAGCCAATTTCAACAGCGTCAACAGTTCAACTCACAGCACCATGAACCAGGCCTGTGGTGGTACTGATCTCGGTTGTCGAGTCCTCCTCGGCGCTGTCCTCGATGTCATCGGAGGCCGAAATGGCGACAGCCGTTGTCGTCCTGGGTCGTCTTGTAGTGGTCGTGGTGCTGGTGCTGGTAGCTCGGGCAGGTGTGCGAGTGGTCGAGACTGAATGCATGTGGGTTGTCGTAGATGTTGTTTTCGTCGATGAAGATGTGGGATCGTGGTATGTGTGGGAGGCTTCAGCTTCCATCTTGCTTTCCTGACAAGAACAAGGATCGGACAGGCGCGACAGGCCTGACGCTTCCATATCCCTGCCTTCAAACGCATGTTGTACTCGCGCAAAGTCAGTGTCGTGTCCCCAGTTTTGACATGAAAAGGAGATGGACCTCAAAAAAATCACCGCTTGCAGACTTCCAGCTGCAGGCAGCTGCCAACTGAGACCAGCAGCCAACGCTGCGGCGCGTCTCCTCCTCCACGTTGACCAGCCTGCTTCCATCCCAGGCCTGGGAGGTTTCCACCAATATCTGGTTAAAACACACTCCTTAAGGGCTTCCACTCCTTCGGCCCGAGCAGCAAAAAGGAAGACGCTCTCACTTCGGCACTCGCAGGGCTCTGCGTTGCAAGCCAGATAGGACTCCAAGGCCTCACGACTTTCGCTTTTGTTTTACTCCGTCTGCCCTTCTCGTGACAAGGACTGTCATCTGCGCTGAAGTCGGCATCGCTGTCAACCGGCCTTTCCGAAATCATGGGAGCGGTCGCCCCACTCCTTGGCACAAGGGACATGACAAGCCACTTGGCTTTGCCCAGCCGTGCCAATCAACGAGTACTTCACTTGTGCCTCAAACACTGCCTCAAACGATGCCGATGCTGCTCTATCGACAGTGCCACAAAGCGACTGAGGAGTCGTAATACTTCACCCGCAGCTGGCGCCAGTAATAGGTGTGGTCCGGAAAGTTCCCATCCTTATATACTGAGGCATGGCCACACAGGAGGCATTAGCCCCTGTATTCCTCGACCTGCCTAGCATGAAACGATTAGGGTCGCGGCTGGTTGCTTCATCGTTTCCACAAACAGCTGCAACGGTGCCAGCCTGCAGCCCGGTCTGCACACACAGATCTCAGAAGGCATGATGGCAGATCGGAAACACGCAGGGTCTCTGAGTGGCACCTGCTTTGGCTGCAATTCCGAAATCCCACTTTCATACAGTCACAGCCAGGATCCTGAGCTGCTCCGACTGCATTAGTGTGCCGTTTCAACATGATTCTGTTTCCTCTTTCTTGCACCTCAACTTTGCAGCGGTGAGCTGGCGAGTGGGCCTCGCATCTACCGCATGCACAAGAAGCGACTGCGCCCCAGTCGAGATAGAGCCACAAGCTTCAGTCAGGTGCCACAAAGCTTCGTCGGCATGGCAATACTCCACATTGCATTCAGCTGCGGACGAACCTTCTCAGAAGCTTGTCACACTTCCCTCATCTCTGAAACTCTCGCTCCAACAGAACCAACACACTTCAGTCACCTGCTGTCCTGCGATGAATCGACCCCGCTCGACAGCACGCTCCCAAGCGATAACATAACATCTTTTCTGTGCAAGAAGATAAACTGCTGCCCAGCCACGACAACCTTCGGACTCTCTCTGCCAACACATATGCTTCCCCTGGAGGTTGAAGTACAGCCTCTTTTGGCAGCATTCCCTGCTGGCTCGCTACCCGCGAGATGCACAGCATCCCAAGGTGGCTCGCTCAGTGCAGCCAAGTTTCTTGTAAACTGGCATAGCAGAATCAGTTTCCGACGAGGCAAAGTCCAGAATCTGCTGTAGAATGGCTCCGTCACTGGCAATCTTGGATGGCAACCGACGACACTTTGCTAGCTGCGCGCGAATGCTGAGTCTCAGGGACTGGTCTCCATGACTACTCGACGCCGGGTCACATGTGCCTGCGATCGCCTCGGGCCGTCAGAAATGAAACGAGGTATTCTGTGGCCACAGACGCTGCACAGCTGAAGCTACTTGCGCATCCCAGGTTCCTCATGATGTTCTTGGCCTGCAGGCAACGTGATGCTGACTAGCTGTCGCTGAGCATGCACAGAGGTCGTCACGAATCTTCGTAGACCGAGCCTGCGAAGGCAGAACCAATGTGCCGAGGAACCATAAGGCCAAGCTGCAGTGCTGACCTTGGCTGTCACACATGTCACAGAACTGCAGATGACATATGCAACTGCGAGGTGCATCGCATACGTGGCCGGCTATGGAGTGGACCTGTGATGCAGGCGGGGCTTGTTTCGTGCACGCATGCACATGCACTGACGTGTGCAAAGGGCATCACAGGGCCTTCTCATAGGTTTCCCAAACGAGCGGTATGGCTGCCCCAGTTTTCGAGGCTCGAGCCGAAAGAAGCGTGCCCTGCACTTGCAAAGAGCCGTGAAGACGCTGCCTTTGTAAACACAGAAACCTGTGGGGCCACGGCGACTGCCATTGTTCCTGAGACGGTCGTTCTGCAGAGCAACCAGGATTCTACGCGCAACGATTCTGACACTAGGAAAAAAATGAAAGCCAGAAGTTCGACAAACTGGGAGACCCGCAGTTTGGTGCAGATCGGCTTCTGGACCAATGTGGTCCTTCTTGGCAGGGTCTTGAGCCGCAAACTGCATGGAACGAGCTCCGTCCGCAGAGATCATGAGCTTCCAATCCAATGGCCAGAATGCTGAAACAGTTTTGCTGAACCATGCGCGAGGACACATCACTCTGCCAACGGCCTTTTTTAAAAACAATCCGATGATGAGTCTCTCTGCCGTGATGCTTCCGCTTTGGAGCGGTGCAAGCAACTATGCTTGAGACAAGATAACAGCTCGGGTTCATTCCAACCACGTGCAGTCTCTGAAGCTATACAATCTGTGTCTTGTCAGCTGCACATGCTGCGCCGGTCAAGCACTCAGTTCAGCCACCTGTTCTCCACAAGTTTCCTGGCCTGACACGCACTCTCAGGCAAGCTTTTCCCCTCTTGTCCCAGGAATCAATACTTAGAAAGGAAAGGTTCAGAGCTCAGAGAGGCAAGGGCAATGAGTGCAATCGGCAGGACAGAACATCTCAAGCCGCCTGGCTAACCACCAGGCCGACGAGGAACACTGCGAAGGTCAGGCAGATGGCGGTGGCGTTCAGGATCTGGCTGGGGGACACAGCTCCATGCTGCGAGCATCCATCATCCACAAGCACAAACACACAAGCACACACACACACACAGACACACCCGTGCACACACACACACACGTTCACGGTAAACACACCTTTCTCCTGCATGTTCAAGTATTCTTCATGCGCTCGACGGGCTTTGAGGCACTCCTCGGGCTCCTCGAACATCCCCAAACCCGAAACCAATCAAAAGCTCCAAATTTCCCTGAAAACCCGCGACCGCCGTCCTTTTGCAGCGCCCTCAGACCAAGAGAATGTTTTAGTCTAGCAATTTGAGGTAACCGAGTAAGCCTCACATTGTCATTGCTCCTTCTGAAATCGTGTGAGAACCACCGTGAAACGCACGTCTTCAGGCAAGCGCATGTAGCATGCGGCGCAATGCAGCTCATATTCCGGTAGTTTTCTCTCGAGAGAGACCTGCAGTGTGACAGCGCAGCCCTGCTTCAAACGCACCACTCCAGTGTGTTCTCTTCCAAGTGGAGGATCTTGCAGGTGATTGTTCGCTTCTTGTCATGGTACCACTCGTTGCCTAAGAGGCGCTTAGAGATGACGCCGAGAACGCTCACTTGCGGTCACTTCCGCTGCAGCACTGAATGCATAAGGTCGGCCCGTGTCCAGCGGCGACGGAAAGGCTTTCGTCTCGCAGATTTGTTGGAGGAAGCCGCCTCGTCCTCTCGGGACTCTAAGGCCCGCTCCACATCATGAATCAGCTTCCATTGCCGGACCCGCTTCAGCTCTGTAAGGATCCCGTATAAGGCCTCCAGCTCCTTCACCTCCAAGCGATTCAAAACGTCCGCGAAGCGATTTTCGATCCCCTCAAAGATCCGGTTGTCTCGACAGCCCAAACGAGCCATGGCCCAACAGAGTCTCACCAACTGGCGCGGGGCAAAGGGACAAGGCTTTTTTCCCAGCGACTGTGTCACCGAGGCTTCCGCACGTCGCAGGAGTTCCGTTGAGCCCCGGCCGGTGTGAATGCGAGCGAGGCCATAAATGCAGCGATAAAGTGCCTCGTCGGGAAGCTTCTTCATGTGCGGACCAACTTCACGAGCCAAGCCCACCGCCTCATAAACGACCTCTCGAGGCGGGCTTGGGATGCCAGATGCTGCCCAGACGCCTTCTGCAAGGCAGGATAGGGGAAGTTCGCTGCGGTGCTTCATCAAGAGGGGCCATGAAGAAATAGCACCCTGCACGGGGGCATGGAAAGATGCATCACACGGCCATTCCCTATGCTGCCCGCTCTTCGTCCTTCGGTCCTGGCGGCAGCGCAGCTCCGCAAACGCTGTGAGTGCCATGTGCGCACCCTCAGGGCCAAAGCTCGGCAGCACTGCATCGACCTATGAAGGCCAACAGGACAAGGTGGAGCGTGAGGTCATCTGAGAACTCTTAGAAGCTATGGTACACCCCGCACCTTCTCGAGGAACTGCCGAAGGTCGCTTCCAGACGCAGGCATCTTCTTGAGTTCTCGCAAGCGGGTAAGGCAGGAGGCGAGGTCAGCGAAGGTGAGTTGCATCTGGGTCTGTGCACCAACGCGGAGCACGGCCGCTCCATCCACACAGCGCTGGAGCTCCATGTCCAGAAGTGAAGCCCGTGGCGTTCGCACACCGCTCTGAGCGACCAGGCTGGCGGAGGAGGCATGACGGCTTCGCAGCTTCAGGATTCTGCTCATGCCTTGAAAGCGTGAGGCCATGAATCAAAGGAAGACTCTTACGGCTTCTTGTATGGAACGCGGACAATCTGCAGAGGCTCAGGCTGAGTGTTGTTCATTTTTTCAGACAACCGATAGGTTGCTGGAATGCAGAAGTTGCACCGCACCGGTTGCACATCCCTGACTTTGACATACTTCCCGGTGCAGCTTGAGCCGTGGATGACATTGGACTTAGCAGCAAGCTTAGCCCGGCAAGTATGGGAAAGCCCTGTGCAAGGACTTGCTTCACAGATCAGTGATAAGCATAGTGGGCGTTGAGCTCGTGGCCTTTCTATTGTAGGCCTCTGTCGAATCCTCAGCTGGAGCACGTCCCAGTGCGAATCTGGAAGCTGCAGATCATGAGCACGTCTCTAAACCTTGGTCTCGGCTCCAGGCCGGGTCGATGTTCTGCCCTGCCTCCGAGCCCTCGCCCCAAGTCGCGAAAGCTGGCAGAGATCCTGTTATCAGCGTGAATACCGAGTGCTTTAGTGGCGTTCGTACCGACTTGACCAAATTTATTCAAGCTTCTATCTCCAGCTGTGACTTGAATCTTTGTTTACATGCCACATGCTTACGGCTTAAAGAAGCCATTCGACGACTGCAACAACTCGGTCCTGCCATGGACAGCCCAGTGGACAGGGCAGTTGTTTCCAACACCCTCAACGACTGCACTCCCTGCCAGAGCTGTGCGATCGGCCCGAAAGAAGCACTTGTTGGCCGAAGTGCAAAGGCCCACCTCCACCGTCCGCGCCGGTGCCTTTCGAACGGCACAGCCCTTGCTCCGAACCCCGCAACGTCCGTGCCCTCTGCGCCTGGCCTGCACGAAGCATTGCTGGGAAAGCGATCTCCACGCCGCTGCCACGGCCAGGCTGAGAAGTGCCTCGGACTGACAAGGGCAGTCAAGTTTTTGGTTTCTTTCCGCAAGGACACATGCAGCCTTAAGGAGACATCAGAGCTGACAACTTCATGTGTGGCACCATACTGGAGCATGAAAACACTACTTGTGTTGCCATGCACGCCTTTGCACCTTGTCTCTTCGATGGCTTGTAGCATCCTGTCAGTTCGCTGCCCGAATACGGCATACGGCTACGTTTTGTGAGCAGCTGCTGTATCCGGACAATACTTGCTTCATCCGAACAAAATCCTATCGCCAGAGGCGGGAGACCTCAGAAAACACCGCATGCTATGCTGTAACTTGCAAGGGCGGTGCGACGGGGAGCAGCACAGACCGCGCCATCACCCAAATGCCTCCCCGCGACCACGTCCAGGCTTGCTGCCGGCTTCAATCTTTTGAACATGAGGTTTGACAGCCTTACAACATGTCTTGCACCAGCCCTGCCTGAAAGGTTGACTCGATGTGACAGAACCATTTTTTTCGAGCTCGGATGTTTCATATGGTGGAACTTAGAGCTTGCTGCGAAGGAATGATTGCCGAAACAGTCGGAAACTCGTTTGGTCAGACTTGCGCCTGTTCATGTTTTCAAGGAAAGAAGTGCATTCGCGTTTTTTGTTTTACTGAACCAAAGGAGCTTCTTCCGGGCTCGTATTAACTTTAAGAAAGCCTGCAACCAAAATCTAATTTTGGGTCAATCTTGCTCTCGCTGAAAGTGCTGCAAAACAATCATCACAATCAGCAGCTTTTGATTTCAGTCACGTTTCAGCGCGATACCAGCAAGCAGCAAGCAGTGCCTAAATTGTGAACACACACCCCGAAGAAGTGGCTGTTAAGTCGCAACAATGGTTTTCGGCTTTCGGAAAAATTGAACAAAATCTCACGCTTTTCACTCCAACTCTGAGCCTGTTCCAGCAACGCGGAGTCAAAGCAGTTTCTGCAAGCTCGATGCAAAAGACACCACTGTACACGTGTGCGCATATCATGACAAAACACGTGTATGAGGTGACAAGTTGTTCAGCTCGCCTGATTGGCATCCGCCTGTAGCCAATCAAAACTTTCAGAACTTCGAGAAACAGCTTGAACTACTGTGGAGGCCCTTTGTCCGC